TATGTATTTAGACTTTATATAAATGATGGGTGTTATTCAGCAACTTGGGTTTTTTTTTTTTTCCTCCATTGTGTATTGATTCATCTATACTGATACGTGCAACTCTAGCTCAGTCATTGTGACTGTTTCCTGGCTTTTCATTGCATGGATATTTGCATTGTTGCTATTCTTTGCTATTACAAAGGCAAACCTTATACATGATTCCTCACCATTTTACTGCTTGAAATACACCAAAAAGTTTGGCTTTCAAAATTTTTTTTTAATTTTTTTGAGACAGGGTCTCCCTGTAGCCCCAGCTGACCTGGAAGTCACTAAGAAGACCAGGCTGGCCTTGAACTCACAAGGATCCACCTGCCTCTGCCTCCTGAGTGCTGGGACTAAAGGCGTGCACCGCCACGCCTGGCTAGCTTTCAAATTGAAAAAACAAAAAAAGAAAGAAAAACTTTGATCCAGGGGCTGGAGAGGTGGTTCAGTGGGTAAGAGCACTGGCTGCTCTTGCAGAGAACCTGGGTTCATTTCCCACCACCCATATAGCAGCTAACTCCCATATAGCAGTCCATAACTCCAGTTCCGGGGGATTTGACACCTTCTTCTGACCTCCAAGGGTAGTGCCCACATGTGGTGCACTTACATACATGCAGGCAAAACACTCACATGCATAAAATAAAACAACTTTGATTCAAAGAAATATATATGACATGACCACACACTCTATCCATGTACATACACATAAATAAAACATAAGTTTCACAGGCCTGTCCTGACCCTATGTGTGATGTGCTCTGGGATTTCTGATTCTGTATTTGTTCATTTTTATCCTGTTGGTCTGTACAACTAGGATTTCCTGACCCATGAATGAGTCACAATCTAGCTTAGTCCAGCCCAGCCTCCCACTTTATGGTTGGTTAATGAGCTATATTTTCCCTCCTTGAATTCTAACCTACCAACCTCCTAAGAAATCTGGATCAGCCCAGAACATTCCCCTCTCCCCTTGGCCCTTGAGGGACATTTGGAGCAAATGATCACTCTCCCCAATTTGAAGACTGGAGTTGGGATATTGATGATGTTCAGACTGTCCTAATCTCTATTTCAGTCACCTATTGGACATGCTGGTGCTGAAGTGAGCACAGGTCACTGGGCCCTGGACTGCATGCTGGACATGTCTCTTCCTGATTTCCACAGCAGCCCTGTTGGATGGGTGTTAGTCCATGAACCTTGGCTGAGGCCATAGATCTAAGCGGTAAAACTCAGATTTGAACTCAAGGCTCCTTGCCTAAGACTTTTCCACTACATCATGAAGTGTCCTGCAAACAATGGTCACTTTAGCTAGGTCCTTAGGAAATGAGCACACATCCTTCTCCATCATCTAAACCAGTACACAATCTGTGGATTCTGGTGAGAATTGAAGTATGGAACCTCTTTTAAAACAGTATGAAAGATTTCAAGGTAGTGACTGCAGAGCATTAAACTAGGGCTGTGACCGCATGAGTCACTCCCATGAAACTGTATACTACTTTCTCAGCATCACTCTCTACCAATACCCCTTCCCTGCAGATTTTCCTCAAGCATCACTTCCTCCAAGAAGTCTTCCTTCCCTGCACTCTGTCCCAAACTATAGCAAGCCCCTCAAAAGCCTCTCTGGTTTTTCAAGGTGTCCTGGCATAGCATTTGCCAGTCTGTGCTACATCATCCTTTTCACTGCCTGATGTCCCCCACAAGCAATACCATCTGCACTAGACCTGACACTCTGAAGGCACGGACCATGCTTCCCAGCCTTGCATTCCCAACACTTAACTCTGAACCAGATTTCTCACCAGAGGGAAAAAAGCTTTGTGGCATGAAGCAAAGGAAACTGAGACTCACTAAGAGGGTTGGTGAACCTCAATTGGAAGGAAGGTAGGTGATGGTACCAAAGCAGGAAGGCTAAGGGAGAGGAGCCTGGGGTGGGGAGGAATGCTGGTGGTGGGCTAGCAAAATGAGGAGCATTCTAACTGACTTATTCAAAAAGGCCTCCCAGAGTGGGCAGCCCACATGCTCTGAGAACTGACATGGGGCTCAAGGACACATGGACAGGGCCAACCTGCTCACGTGATCTTCCCTGAGGGATACTGGAGTAGGCTGCAAAACTTCTTCAAGTCCATTCCCCACCCCAAGCTCCAGGCTTAGAAAGGAGAACTCAGACTTGTATCTTACACAAGATTGATGGTATCTTCCTCCAAGTAGTTGACCAAGCTCCGACTCGAGGAAAGTGGGAGGCCTTTGGTAGCCATGGTTCGCTTCATAAACTTGGGGTTTGGAAAGGGCTTCGGCAGCTGATCAACCGCATTCATAATGTTGAGGGTTTCTTTCTTTGGTACGGCCTCCTCCCCATCCCCTACTTTACAGAACACCTCTGACACCATCTGGTGTAGGTGGGATCAGAGCTGTCACCATACAGGACAACTAGTTGGCAGGAAGCAGAGAGAAACGGTGGGGTAAAGGATCCACTTTTAGTTTGGGTGGGATGAGGGTGCAATGAGCTGACGTCACAATCATCACAGAATGCAACAATTAGGGGCCCCACCTCCCCTTGGTGTGAGACTTGCTGTGCAGCTAGAGACCAAGAGGTAGTGTCAGGGGTTGGGTTGAGCCAACAAGCAAACTGCATAGCCACTTCCAGCACTAACATACTGTGACCATAGCTGCCCTATCCTCCGAGGACTTCAAAAGGCCTCACACCTGTGCCCTTTGGAGCTGCCCTGGAAAGAGGAGCAGGCTGTTGAGAAAGAGAGAGCCTGGGCTGTGTCAAGCAGCACTAGAGGGGCTTTTGGTAGAGGAAGACTTTGCCTACAGATACTGAGGCTCAATATCCTGACATCTAAGCAGCAAATCCCACTGTGCCCAGTAGCATGGGTGCCCAGTAGCAGTGAAAGCACAGATGGCTCCAAGGATCATAGCTCATGCGTTACCTGGTTTACAGCTAGAATTTCAAATGTGTCATGCCCTAAAGGGGAGAGGTGTTTTTAGAAATTGGCCAGATATCTCCACTCCGGAGAACCAGTGCACAGTCAGAAAGGATACCCACTGCTTCTGGGGAGGGGAGAGAGCAAGCTCAACCACACTGGCTTTGCTCTTGAATGCGGACTTCAAATTCAGTTCTGTGCTTTCTAGCTGTGTAACTTTCAGCAAATAATAATCTCACGGAGTCTCAATTTCTTCAACAAAATACAGATGCAAGTAATAGCTCCTACTAAGCTTGTGAAATTGCTTTATTTTTTCCACAGGATGTGGAGAGAGAGAGTGAGAGCAAGAGCAACAGCGAGAGAGAGCTCACTATATAGCTTTGGCTGGCCTGGAACTCTATGTAGACCAGGATGGCATAGAATTCAGAGATTTACCTGCTTCTGCTGCCTGAGTGCTGGGATTAAAGGCATGGACCACATGTCCCCTTTTAGTGTAATTTGGATGTTCTTGTATACTCAAGGGTTTTTCTCCTTACCCTTGCATTAAAAAAAAAAAAAAAAAAACCCGGAGGGTGGAGGGGGAGCTGTTAAGAGTGCTTACTGCTCTTACTGAGGACCCAGATTCAGTTCTCAGAACTCACATGATGACTCACCTGCTGTAACTCCAGTTCCAGGGGATGCAACATCCTCTTCTGGCCTCAGTGAACACCAATGTGGTGTACGTACATACATGCAAACACTGATGCACATAAAATAAAAATTTTAAATCTCAGAAACTTTTGTTAAAAACTTTTGTCAGGCCGGGCGTGGTGGCGCATGCCTTTAATCCCAGCACTCAGGAAGCAGAGGCAGGCGGATCCCTGTGAGTTCAAGACCAGCCTGGTCTACACAGTGAGTTCCAGGACAGCTGGGGCTACAGGGAGACCCTGTCTCAAAAAGACCTCCCCCCCAAAAAAAACTTTTGTCAGAGGCTGGGGGCTGGAGAGATGGCTCAGTGGTTAAGAATACTGGCTGTTCTTGCAGAAGACCTGGGTTCCAATCCCAGCACCCACATGGCAGCTAGCAACTGTCCGTAACTCCAGTTCCAGGGGATCCAACATCCTCTTCTGTCCTCCAGGAGCGTTGCATGACAAGGGTGCACTTACCTACTACATGCAGGCATAACATTCATATACATAAAATAAAAATAATAAATAACATTAAAAGAGATGGCTCAGAGGTTAAGAACACTGGTTGTTCTTGCAGAAGACCTGAGTTCGAATCCCAGCACCCACATGGCAGCTACCAACTGTCTGTAACTCCACTCCCAGGGATCTGGCAGCCTCCTCTGACCTCCGCACGCATTGCACGACACGGGTGCACTTACCTTACATGCAGGCAAAACACGCATATACATAAAATAAAAATAATAAATTAGAAAAAAAAAAACCCTTTTGTCAAACACAGAGGTGAGGGTGCCCTCTGTAAGCTGCTTTGGATCTTGGCAACTCATATAATCTATAATGAATGATCTGATAGATCCTTCTCATTGTCTCCCTCCCTAACACACAAGCTCCTTGAAGGTAGGGGTGCTTCACTTAACATTGGGTTAGAGTTAGGGCATCCCTCGGCTTTGGGAGAGGAAGCTGGTACATAGATGACTCCTCCGAAAGTCAGTGCGTGTGTGTGAGGAAGGAAGTCGAGGATCCGGTGCCAATCTGGATCTGGAGCGGCTGAGCCATTCCATTCTCCCGTACGGCCAGCAGGTGGCGCTGCAGGTCTGGCCACACCGCGCGCTCAGGGCTCGGAACCCGGAAGCGTCGCTGCAGAAGGGACAGGCCCGGCCCTGGGCCCGAGTTCCGCGAGTGCGGGAGGGCTGCGGACCCCCATTCCCACCCGCACCCTGTCGCCGTCCCCTCCTCCCACGCTGGCGCATCGAGGCCCTTTCCGGAAAGTGGAGTGGAGGGGCGTCCGGAGAGGGCGCCGCGGGAGCCCACGAGACTGGCAGCCTTCTGGGCTGTCCCAGGTTTGCAGGCAACATGGGCGTGCTCCGGGCGGGACTGTGTCCTGGCCTCACGGAGGAGGTGGTCCAGCTCCTGAGGGGCCGAAGGATCAGAACAGGTGATCGCGTGGGTGCGCGCCGCACACAGCCGGGGCACACCTGCGGGGGTCAAGGCTACCCCCCTTGGCACACGTGCAGAACACTTCCGTTCTCATTGGAGGGCCACTGCCCTCTTCTGCCCTCCAGGAGAGGCTGGGGGAGGCTGGGATCGCCGGAGCCCAGCCAGGTGTGGAGGGGACCCTTCTCTGTGCTGGGAAGTCCTGCATCAGAGCCTGCGCAATCGAAGATAAAAAGGAGACCCTAACCCTGATTCACAGAGGAGGAAAAGGGCTTGGCAAGGCCAGGCCATCCTAGTTGCCCATCAGCAGCATGTGTTCTGTTTTCAGTGGTGGACCTGGCCGGTGCAGACCTGGAGCAGGTAGCCCAGCAGTGTGGCTTGTCCTATAAGGTGAGGTCGCAATCTACAAGCTCCATCCCAGCTGGTCCCTAGGCCGCTGGAGCAGAGTTCTGGGAAGTTGATTAGGGAGCTGTAAGGCCTGGAGTGCCCTGGGGGGTGTCTGGTCCCTGGGCAGTTTGCCTGCTCCCAGTCTGAGTGTCTGCCCCATTGTCAGGCCCTGGTTGCGCTGAGGCGGGTGCTGCTGGCTCAGTTCTCAGCTTTCCCCTTAAATGGCGCAGACCTCTATGAGGAACTGAAGACCTCCACTGCCATCCTGTCCACAGGCATTGCAAGGTTTGTATGCATAAGGAGAAGAAGGGGATAAGAGAGGGTTTATTCTGGAGTCAAATATGAGTGACCATGGCCCAGGAATACAGATTAGGTTACCCCAAATTCCATGTCTGGTAACAATGTCATGAGGTTTTTATAGTAACAAAATAAAGCCACAAATCAAGACACTTTTCAAGTACACTGGTGGAGCCATCAGAGAGGTGAGTTATAGCAATTAGGGAGAATTCTGCTATAGGTCTTAGATGCCATCCCACAGGCTTCTTAGGCCTCCGGTGAGTGGAAGCTGGTGGTCTGCTAAGTTAATACAAAGGTTTTTTATTTTGTTTTTTTTGGGTTTTGGGGGGTATTTTTGAGACAGGGTGTCCCTGTAGTCCCAGCTGGCCTGGAACTCACTATGTAGACCAGGCTAGCCTCGAACTCTGCCTCCCAAGTGCTAGGATTAAAGGCGTGCACCACCACACACAGCCATTACAAAGGTTTTTAAAGGTTTTTAATCTGCTAGTCACATGATATTAAGTCAGAAACAGAGGTGGGCAAGGAATGGCTATTGTGGGGTAGGAGGTACTAAAGATGGCCCAAGATAAATGCTAATTAACCTCTGGACCTGCCACATTCCAAAACTCTCCATAATCACTGACGTTCTAGTCAGATGATCAGCCTTGCAGTGGATTTAGTTTGAAAAATGCAGATTTTTTTTCTGAGAACTTTCGTTCATACTGGTGAGGGCAGCATGGAGCTGTCATAGAACCTAGTGGCATCAGGACTCTTAAGTTCTTTTACCATAGAGCAGGGTTGTAAAGGTTATAAGAGTTCTCCACCCCAGCGCTATGTATACTTTAGGGCAAGTAATTATTTGTTGGGATGGGGATGTCCTTGCATTGGGGAGCATTTAACAGCATCCCTGGCCTCTAACCCATCAGCTGCCCAGAATCACCTCTCCTGCCCCCAGCAGTAACAATCAAAAATGTCTTCAGACATGACAATCTCCTGGGAGGCCAAACTGCCCCAGGTGAAGAGCCACTGTCCTATAAACAAGATGTCAGTAGTATTTCATTATTATTCATCAGAGTCCTGTCTGGCCTTGCCTTCCATGACACTTGAAGGTAAGGCAGACTAGGCCAGGATAGGGTTAAGATTTCCTGGGAGTCTTCACCTGTGCACTGACTTGAGGTTATAGATGTTAGAGATTGTTAGCTTCCCTGTGGTTAACCTAAGAGGAGAGGCTGGCAGAGGTGAGGTGAGACCAGGGGTATCTAACCCGGAGTTGATGTCTCTGCCACACTCTGCAGCATCAGAAAACACACACATTCACTGAAAGGCGCAGTTACATTGTGCCCAGTTGTTTGGGTTGGGAAAGAATTGGAAGACCACTGGTGTTTTCTGGCCAAGTGAGTCTGACCTCTCTCCTGGCCTGTTTGTGCAGTTTGATGAATAACACTGCCATCACAAAGGTCTTTGGATTTGTCTGTCCCTTGCTGTTTCCATAACACATTCTCTTGGCAAGGTTCACACAGTCTGGTGCTTGCTCTAGCTGGTTGGGGGTCTGTGTTTGCAATCCATCAAACATTGGCCCAGTGCCTCCTGGATGCCAGACACATGCAGATAATATCTGTACAAGTGAGGGAACAGTCTTACTCTTAAGTATGGTGGGTAGTATATATAGGAGACTCATAATCACAACAAGGAGGCAGCACTGACGACTGACTGCTTAGCAGGGGTTTAGGAAGTGAAACCAGCATACACAGGAGCAGAGACAGGATTAGAGCTGAGGTGAGTCACTACAGGGGAGGTCAGCGTGGCACAGGTGGTCTTGCATTGGGAGATAACCAGTGTGCTATCCCCCAATGCTCACCATGAATCAGGTACTGTGCTCAGCATTTCATGGCGTGTATTTCATTTGTTGTCACACCCCCTAAGGAAAATACACAGCCATTGAAATCATCATTCTCTGGCTGAAGAAATGGCAGCTTGAGTTAAGTGACCTGCTCAAGGTCTCAGATCTACTACATGGCAGCTGAGTCTAAGAACTTAACTGACTCTACTGTTCGGGTGCAGCCCTGGAGGTGGGGGACCATTGTGGGAATCATTTAGAGGCAGTGAGGCAGAGGTCTGCAGGATGGAGGGGCCGAAAGAGGCCAAAGAGGGATCCTTGTGCCGATATGGAGTGTGTGAGTCTGGTCCAGGCACATGACAGTGGGAGACATGTGCAACTGCCTGTGGAGGCCAGAGGACAACCTCAGGTGCCATCCACCTTGTTTTCTGATGCAGAGTCTCTCATTAGTCAGGGACACACCAATCAGGCTAGCCAGTGTACCCCGCAGAACCACCCACCTGCCACCTTAGCTTTGGGATTATAAATGTAGGCTGCCACACCCATTTTTTTGTTTATTTTTTTAAGATTTATTTTATTTTTATTATTTTATGTGAGTGTATTGCCTGCATGTTTGTAAGTGCACCCATCTCCTGCAATGCCCAAGGAGGTCAGAAGAGGGTGTCAGATCCCCTGGAACTGGAGTTACACACGGTTGTCAGCCTGCATGTGCTAGGAATTGAACCTTGGTCCGCTGTAAGAGCAGTCAATGCTTTTAACCACTGAGCCCCTCTGTAGAGAACTTAATCTCTACAGCCCCTTAAAGATTTATTTTAATTATGTGTGTACATATGCGTATTTGTGCAAGTGCCTGTGGAGGGACACTCAAGGTGTCCTATCCTCTTGGAACTGAAGTTACAGGCCACCAGATGTGGGTACTGGGAACCGCTGAGCCATCTCTCTAGCCCCTCTCACCCAGCTAAATGTGGGTTCTGGGGATCAAACTAAGGTCTTCATGCTCGCAAGGCAAACACTTTTTTTTTTGGTCTTTTTGAGACAGGGTCTCCCTGTTGCCCCAGCTGTCCTGGAACTCACTATGAAGACCAGGCTGGCCTTGAACTCACAGAGATCTACCTGCCTCTGCCTCCCAAGTGCTGGGATTAAAGGTGTGTGCCACCACACCCGGCCAAGGCAAACACTTTTACTGACTGAACTATCTCCAGGCCTGGGCTGGATAGAGTTCTTGTTGAGCTTTGGTTGCAGGATCCAGCTCCAGAATTTCTGATTGTGTTGCTGATGCTATTGCCCTAGGGACTGCCCTGTGAGCCCACACTGAGAGAAACTGCTATCATGGAACTGGGATTCCCACATCTCCTGGAGGAATGGGATCCAGGCAGGGCAGAGGCTGGATGTATATCAAGTAGTTGCTTATTAGATAGACACAGAGCCGGAGTGGGAACCAGAGCATTTTGACAGGCAGGAACCGGTGGCCCCTGGAATTCAAATAGATGAAGTGATGACTGGAAGACTTCTTATCATGTGCTAGTCATGTGCTGTCATGATCATGGTTCGTCTTCAGGAACCTCTTCAGAGGCCTGAGGTCTGTGACTATTTACTGCAGCGTGAGGAGAGGAGAGGTATGGTCAGGCAGTGGTACAGGCTTCAGCCCCTGTCATGGGCGGGGCCTGGAGGGTGTATGGTGACCTGTTTCATGGTGGTTAAGGGGTAAAACTGGGTGAGAACATGGCCACGTCTTAAGGTTCATCCCAAGGCTTCCACAGCCAGAGTTTTGACACTAAAGTGAAGGTACCTTTCTATTTGTCTAGTAATATTTACTATGTGCTTTCAGGGGTTTGGGCATTGTGCTAAGATTGGGAACACAACAGGGACAAAGGCCCAGTCTCTGCCCCAGGGTGTTCCTACCAGATGAGGGAGGCAGACAAAAACAAGCAAATAAAAAATAATTACAAACTCCCAGAGCTAATAATCGAGTTTAGCAAGGTCTTGGGATACAAGATCAACACATAAAAATCAATTGCATTTCTCTGTGCTCACAATGAACATGTGAACACTGAAATTAAAAACACAGTGCCATTTGCAGTTGCTCCAAAGAAAATGAAATATTTAGGTACAGGTCTAACAAAGCCTGTGTAGGATTTGTGTGCCGAAAATTAAAAATTGCTGATGAAGGAAATCAAAGGTGACCCAAATAAGTGGAGAGACTTACTGTGTCCATGGATTACAAGTTTCTACACAGTAAATGTTAACCCCACCTACCATCAGTTTTCCACACTACTGGAGGGTTGAACCCAGGGCCTTGCATATGCTAACCAAGCACTTTATCACTAAGCTGTATCCTCAGCCTACTTGTCCAGATTTTTTTTATTATTTTTATTTTATGTGTATGCGTGTATTGCCTCCATGTAGGTAAGTGCACCCGTATCATGCAATGCCCACAGAGTACAAAAGAGGCCATTGGATCCCCTGGAACTGGAGTTATAGACAGTTGTTAGCTGTCGTGTGGGTGCTGGGATTCAAACCCCCGTCTTCTGCAAGAACAACCAGTGTTCTTAACTGCTGAGCCATCTCTCCAGCCCCTTGTACAGATTTTTATCTACAGATGTAATGCAATTTCTTCTCTCCTCTTTCTCCATCCCCCTGATTGATTCTTTTCTCTCATCCTTTGCCATCAGTCTGGACAAATTACTTGATGCTGGTCTCTATACTGGAGAGTTGACTGAAATTGTAGGAGCTCCAGGTAGCGGCAAAACCCAGGTACCCATGAGTCCAGCAGCTGGGAGGATTGGGGGGGTGGGTGTCTTGGGGAATACTTGCTGGTGTCCCTGTGGATTTAGATCAGATGAGATCCAGATGAGTGGTGAGAATGGGTGTGACCTTGGCCCCTTTATATTGCTGGAATCCGGACAGGATATGGTAGGGAGCTGCCCAGAAAGCCTTCCCTCTTTTCTGAGGACTCAGGTTTACCCATCACCCCATCTCATCTCTGAAGGTATGTCTCTGTGTGGCTGCAAACGTGGCCCACAGCCTGCAGCAGAATGTCCTGTATATCGATTCCAATGGAGGGATGACAGCATCCCGCCTCCTCCAGTTACTGCAGGCTAGAACCCAAGATGAGGAGAAACAGGTAAGAGGCTGGATGGCTGAGTCCCTTTGAGATCCTGATGCTAAAAGACCCTGTGACCCCTTATACTACAAGAATTGACACCATCTGTACAAATCTTCATTTCTTACTTTGAAACTTGGGAGCTCTTATGCTACCTGCATTCCTTTAAGCCCCTCTGTTCATGCCATCCCAGTTTGGATGCCACCCACACTGATCCTCCAGGATCTCCTAAGTCCTTGCATACCTTCAATCAGAGCTGACAAACACCTAGCATCTGTGTTTCCAGCCCCTTTCTTGCCCGTGGCAGGCATCAATCATATCTGTCCTTCCTGCTGAATTCTGAGTGGCTTACAGCTCGGCACCCAGGCAGCCACCAATGTGAGATCCGGCACATTAGACAAAACCCACTTGCCATTCTGGACCTGAGTGCTGTGCCTAAGTGCCTCTTCCCCTTGGCTTTCTAATTCTTCATCACCTTCCTGGACCCCCTCTCCAAAGCCACTGCTTCTCTTTCCCACCCCTCAGGCAGAAGCTCTCCAGAGGATACAAGTGGTGCATGCCTTTGACATCTTCCAGATGCTGGATGTGCTGCAGGACCTCCGGGGCACTGTGGTCCAGCAGGTGAGCATGCTGATCTGCTCTGCCCTGCTTTACCCAGCCTGCCAGGTAGTGTCTATATCTGGGCAGGTGTCCCATAACAGACTCTGGGATGCAGATGTGCAATCTGGCAACTCCAGCTGTGCTTGTTCCTCCCAAGGTAGAATTCCTTGGTGCTTAATTCTTGTGCTTCATTGTTTTCGTGCTCAGCAGCCCTGTGACGTGGTCAGCCCCTTGTATTCAGGACTGTGTTGTCTTCACCTCTGCATTCCTAAAATCTACTAGAAAGACTTTCTGCAAGTAATAGAGGCTGTCTACTGGAGACTTGAATCCTGAGGACATCTAATTGTATTATGTGAGACTGGGGGTTGGCTCTGAGTTGTGTGTCTAATGCTCTTGCTCCTCCCCTCAAAGTTGCAAAATGACGGCTGCTCCAAGTGTCTTGTCTGTACGTAGCTGTATGTGTTCTATATTCAGACAAGTGAGAGATAATTTTTTTCCCAGTGTCTCTTGGAAGGAAATCTTTCTCTAGGACCCACTAATAGACTCCCTCTTCTCCTTACATCTGTCTAGTTGTCCAGATTTGTTTTGTAAATTGTGATGTTAAGGAGCCAGCTCGATAGTTCAGTGGGTTAAGGAGACACATGCTGCTAAGCCTGACAATGCTGAGTTTGGTCCCTGGGACCCACAAGGTGGAAGGAGAGAACTGACTCCTGCAAGTTGCACCCTGACTTCCAAATGTGCGTTGTTGTATGGCATATATATATATACATTACAAATAAATAAATGTAAAAAAAATTTTTTAATTTTGATACTAGAGAGCTAATCCAGGGCCTATGCATGTTGGGAAAATGCTCTTGCTGTCTCACTGATCTGTACCCCCAGCCCTAACTGGTCAAAATCAAGCTACACACACACACACACACACACACACACACACACACACACACACATCTACACATCTTGGACCAGGGGCTGGGCTCACTTTGAGATTGGGAGATTTCTGCCCAGTAACTGAACTTGTTCAGACTGCTGTTTACAGGGAAAGGAAAGGAATGTTTTGAACGGCATTTGGGTGAGAGAGGCTGTTTCCAACTGACTTTTGTTTTAATTTTTCATTAAACTTTATTATTTGTGTGTGTGTGTGTGTCTGTGTGTGTCCGTGTGTGTGTACACAGATCCCACAGCATGTATGTGGAGGTCAGAGGACAACTTTGTGGAGTCAGTTCTCTCCTTCCCCCTTCACATGGATTCCAGGGATCAAATTGAGGTTATTAGGCCTATGAGGCAAGTGCCTTTATCCCCTGAGCCATCTTGCTTGCCTCTGACTGACTTCTTTTTTATTTTTTTTTTGGTCTTTTTGAGACAGGGTCTCCCTGTAGCCTCAGCTGTCCT